CTGGGCAAGATCATCCGCTGGTTTACTGCGAGCGCCAAGTGGGTGCTCCGCGCTCTGCGGGCTTCCCAGCGGCGATTCTTCCCTCAACGCGTGCCCGCCGCCCGCAGCAATCTCGAGTCCTTGGCCGCTGTCCGCCAGGGATTCGACTTGTACGCCGCCACATGGCTGGCGCGGGCTGAAGGCGCCGCCGCCGAACTCACGCAATGGCAGCGGCCCTCCACAGCGAAACGCTCTGGCGGGCGGCGGTCGCTCTCAGCAGTGGGCATCTCGCGCCAAGGCCTCCGAAGGCCCATCGCCCGTGTGCTGGCACCGTGGCGAGTACGGAGAGACGTAGGAGAGCGCCGTTCGCTGGCGCTGGTGCTGGGCTTCTCAGCCCAAAGCCCTCTTTTCCATCCTGCCCGGCGAGGTCTGGCGGACGCTCCCGCTCCGCGCGCGGCGTCGTGGCCCGCTCGAGGTGTTCCCTCATCTTTCCGAATTCTAGGCCGAGCTTGCTGCTGGTCCTCACCAGCCGCGGTCGAGAGCGCCTGCGGAGGACGACGGGCAACCCGACCACTGCGAGGACTTCTTCGACCACGCCGCGCAATCCTGATGGACCTCAGCAACCACAAACAAGGCCTGCACTAAACTGGCCAGCCCGCTGTCCGCCCGTGCGGCCTTCGCGGTCTTCCAGGGCGCAGTCTCGACTTCGCTGCCCGCGTCCCTGGCGTCGTTCAAACTGCCCAGCGAGCCGAAAGTGCGGAATTGCTCCAGCCGGCTGCCGCAGCTGAGAGACCCACGCACGCCTTCGTGGTCGATGGCTCCCAGCTCGCCTTGCAAGGATTTCGCCCCAGGGGGCTTGTCTCGGACCTCTCTGGCGACAGATCCACGCAGCAATTCAGGCAAACCCTGGCGTCTTTCGGGTTAAGGCGGGCCTCATCAGCGTCATAGCCGAGTACGTACTGCAACCGCCAAGCTGACGAGGCGGCGACCCAGACAGCCTCCGCGCAGCAGGGCGCCTGGCCCCCCCGAACCCCAAAGGGGCTGGGACTTTTCACCTACCTCGACGCCTTCTACGGCGCCTGGTGATTCGCAGATGTCTCCGAGCGTTGCCTTCATGGCGACATTCGCTGTCTTTGTGGTGACTTACGTCGTCGCAGTGCTTCGCATAGGAGCTTCGTCACCTTTGTGACGACCTACGGTTCTGGTCATCATCTTCGTCAACTTCAAGATGGCCTGGTGCACCCGTAAGTGGAACTACCAAACTATGCTGCGTGAGCTGTGGCTTCGCGCAGCCAGTCCTGTACTACCTGTGCATCTACCCAATCGTTAGGGCGCTGTACTGCATCATTCCTCTCCCGGCCAACGTCATGACCGACGCCGAACAACGTGACCTTCAGGCCGTGGTCCTACACAAGACCGCCGCCACTGTCTGCGACCTGCGGTCCCGTGCACAGCCATTGGCGCAACGCCAGGCGGGGTTCGGGGCCACCGAGCTGGCGACCATAGCCGCCCTGCACCCTGGCCTGCAGGAGTCCCGCTCTCGCTGCACTGGTCGCCGAGCTTGGCCCAGAGTCTGGCGAAGACGCCTTCGGGCTCAGAGGTGCTCCCAGCCACCCTTGGAGGGTTGACACCCCACTGGCGGCCCAGGTCCGCGCGTGGCTGTTTCATTTGTCCGTTCTGACAGCTTTTTCTCTGCGTGCCGAGTACGCGGGGTGGCTCCCCTCATCTCTGGCGCCCTCTCTCTCCTCTGTTACGTGGTGCCCCGGAGGCGGTGCCTCCCCTGCGTCTGCCAAACAAGAAACGTGCGCGCTGCGAGCTGGCCTAGCCGTCCGCTCGTGGATGGACCGGGCTCGTGTACCGCCGCGGCTAGTCGTTTTGGCGACGCGTTGGCACTGCTCGCCACCGATCCGTCGCCCCGACTTGCCGTCCACTCAGCAGGCCGCATTAGCCGCGCTGTTCTGCCAGCTCGCTCTGTGCCAATCGCTACCCTCGCACGCCGCGGATCCAGCCTGTGCCCTCTCCGGGGTAAGTGCCTCCCAGTTCTTTAGTTTTGCATGGCCTCGCTACCACGAAGGCCTGCTAAGGGCCGTGCCATTACCCTGGATGCTCTGACGCCGAATCAATCTTTGTGTGATCTCATTTTCCTTCTCTTCCTCTACATTTTTCTCCTTCTCCTCCTTATCACTGATCTTTGCCCCTTATTCTCCTCCGTCCCCCTCCTCCCGTCCTCCTTCTTCGTTTTTCATTCTTTCTCCTCCTCCTGGGTTCCACGTTGGATCGACCCCCCGCTGGCTGTGAGATGGCGGCGAGGACTAATCCAATGTCGGGCGCGCTTCTGGCCTGGCGGCTGGGCGACGCTTCCAACACAATTGAAATTCCGCGTCTGCGCTGTGCAGCGGGCGGTGTGTGTCGCACCCTGCCTTTTGTCAGTTAGCCTCGTTTTTTGCGAAGCAGAAGTTCGGGCCTTCCAACTCATCGAGTCCAGGATGCAATTGTTTGTTGCTTTAAGTGCCCGCATCTTCTGCTGCCTCCTTTGCCCCCCCCCCCCCCCCCACGCAAAGCATGATGCTTCGCATGTGTTCTGATGGTGGTGGGGTGGAGGCGTGACACCTCCTGGCCACACCCCTCTCCACCCCCCCCACTGCGCCTACTCCATATATATATATATATATACACATAATGCATTAACATTAACTTTCGGAGCTACGCGCGGATTGCTTAGATCGGTGCTGGACCCCTCTCCCTGGCGCGCGGAGGGCGCCAGGGGCCGCGCCAGAGGCGCCGACATTGGGATCCCGCGCGGAGCTCCGAGAGCTTATGCTCATGCCTTGTTCTTCTTCCACCACGGAGCTGTGGCGGATAGGCGCGGCAGCGTATTTTTAGAACGGGCGACCTCGAACACAATGAAGATAGCCCTTGCCGCTCTTCAGTGCCGTCCCTGGGCAATTTTTTTCTGTCTGGGGAGGGTCCCCTGCGCTCGGGGGCGACAGCTGGCGCGGGCTGCCGTCTGGGAGGACGACAGCTGCACACCTGCGTCGGTCCTGGCCAAGCCCGTCCTTGGCCCAGGCTCGGTGCATGCGCCCCCCTGGCTTGGCCAGGACCGTGCATACAGCGACCCTGGGCCAAGGTTGGAAGCGGCAAGGGGGTCTGAGCCGGTTGGGCCCCGAGAAAAGTCGCCCAAGAGGGGGGGATTCAGGAAAAGCCGCTCAACATCAATCCCCAAACCCCTCCTGGGGTGCATCGGGTAACTTTTTTCATCCCGGATCCGTTTTTGACGGTCCCCGGGCCCGAAAACGGCTTCATGATACACGGAAAAGCAGTCGCCTGGCGAAGGACCCAATCATGTGAAGCTGTGAATCACGCAGTTGTCAGCATGGTGTTCGATGGAGCTCCCCATGGGGCCACGAAACGTGTGATGGGTGTGCCGGACGGGTGGCGGGGACGCATGCAAACACCGCCACTTGGGCCTTCGGTGGGGCTCCCTATGGGGCAACGAAACGTGCGATGGGTGTGCCGAAATTTGTGGCGGGGGCACATGCGAACACCGCCACTGGGCCTCCGGTGGAGCTCCCTATGTGGCCACGAAACGTGTGAGGGGTGTGCCAAAATGAGTGGCGGGGACGCATGTGGACACCGACACTGGGGCCTTCGGTGGCGCTCCCTATGGGGCCACGAAACGTGTGAGGGGTGTGCTGAGTGGGTGGCGAGGACGCATGTGGACACCGCGACTGGGGCTTTCAGTGGAGCTCCCTCTGGGGCCACGAAACGTGTGAGAGGTGTGCCGAAATGGGTGGCAGGGACGCAGGCGGACACCGCCACGGGGGCCTTCGATGAAGCTCCCTGTGGGGCCACGAAACATGTGAGTGGGTGTGCCTACATGGGTGGCGGGAACGCATGTGGACACTGCCGCTTGGGCCTTCGGTGGAGCTCCCTATGCGGCCGCGAAACATGTGAGGTGTTTGTGTGTGTGTGTGTATGTGTGTGCCGAGATCTGTGGCGGGGACGCAAGTGGACACCGCCGCTGGGGCCTTCGGTTGAGCTCCCTATGTGGCCACGAAACGTACGGGGTGTGTGCCGACTGGGTGGCGGGGACGCATGTGGACACTGCCACTTGGGCCTTCGATGTGCTTCCCCATGGGGACACGCAACGTACGAGTGGTGTGCCGAAATGTGTCGCGAGGACGCATGCGATCACCGCCACTGGGGCCTTCGGTGGATCTCCCAATGGGGCCACGCAACGTGTGATGGGTGTGTCGCAATGGGTGGCGGGGACGCATGTGGATACCGCCATTGAGGCCTTTTGTGGAGCTCCCTCTGAAGCCACGAAACGCGCGATGGGTGTGCGGAAATGGATGGTGGGGACGCACGTGGACACCTCCACTGGAGCCTCCGGTGGAGCTCCCTGTGTGGCCACGAAACGTGTGAGGGGTGAGCCGAAATGGGTGGCGGGAACGCATGTGGCCACCGCTACTGGGGCCTCCGGTGGAGCTCCCTATGTAGCCACGAAGCGTGTGAGGGGTGTGCCGAAATGGGGATGAGGGGGAGGAGGAGAAGGAGGAGAGGAGAGGCGCGCGGATCGCTGTCTCTTCAAAACGAAGGCACACCACCACAGGATGGCTGGGAAACACAACCCAGAACCTTGGACCTCGCCCTCCTTCCTGCTCGCCAGAACCAATGCTGGGTGACCTCGGACCCCGGCGGGCTCTAAGGCTCGACCTGGGCAGGATCGGTGCAGGTGCACCAGAAGCGGGAACCATGCGTGGCTGGTTTCACGTGTGGAACATCTGGAGGCCACTTGCTGGAAACACATGTGGAGGATCGCCGTGCCTGGCCACACGACGGCCGAACGCTGGATAAACATGTGGCCACGTGTGTATCCACCTCTCGCCCAGGCAGGCCACGTCGTGTATATCCAGCTTCCTTGTGTAGTTGGCGCCCTCCGACCTCCTGGCTGCTCCAAGGGGCCACCGCGGCGCCTCGGGCATGGCGGAGCGACCGCGCCGCGCGCAGGTTTGCCAGGCTCACTGTACCGAGCAGCACGACTGGCACGTCAGCTCGCCATGGGGGGGCTGCATGGAGCGCGCCTCCTGGGCCCAGACATCTGGCGTCTCGAAAAAATCGAGACTGAGGTTTTTCATTGTTTTCGGCCTCTCGGGGCCCTTCCAGGTACTCGGAGCGTCAAAGACGATTGGCTACGATAAAACAGTTCTGGGGAAGTGGTCGAAAGGTCGTGGACACGTGCCTCGAACAAAATCGAGACGCCGGATGTCTGAGGGTGTGGGTAGAAGAACTATACGTATCCACTGCTCCAGGCCAAGTTCACCCTGGGCCCCAGAGCGGTTCATTCAGCCAGGAGGGCATATACACCGCTCCCGGGCCAAGGGGGAGGGAGGGAGGAAGGGTGGAGGATGGGAGAGAAAGGGGAGGACAGAGGATGCCGGGGCAGGAGGGGGGGAGACAGAAGAGGGCAAGAGGAGGGGAGAAGGACATGGGGAGATGAGAAGGAGGATGATGGGAATTCAGGGAGGCGGACAAAAAATGAAGAAATGAGCAAGGATGAGAGAGAATAATGAGGAACATAAGAAAGGGCATATTGAATGATTATGGGCCAGGGAGGAGGCTGAGGAGGAGGGGGAGGGGGGAGGAGGAGAAGGAGGAAGAGCAACGATGCGTGGAGGAGGAGTGACGAGAAGAGAGGGAAGGTGAATGGGGCAATGGGAAAGAGGAAGGAAGTAAGAGGGAGGATGGAGGAGGAGGATGAGGAGAAAGGAGGTGGGGGGAGGGCAGGCATGAGAAGAAGATGATTGTGGTGGTGGAAATGGTGGTGGTTATGTTTGTGGTGGAGGGACGGAGAGAAAGGGTCGTGCTGGGCCCTTGAACAATGCTGGCGCAGCCTTGCTTCAAGGTGCGCGTGTCTTTCATCTCGTCTTCCTTGTCGTCGTCCTCTTGCGTTCTCTTCTCCTCGCCATGTCCCAATCGATCCCCCACACTCCAGATCGGTTTTCGTATTTTCTTTCTGTGCAGCCTGAACAGACACATCTATAACAAAGCACACATGTATATAGGTATACATGTATACATGTATACATGTATATATGTATGTAAATACACATGCGCGAACACAAATGTTCTCGACGTCGGCGTTGTTCGGACAAACGGAAAAGGGGGCAAGGCCCCCAGATGCGGCCCAAACCGGCGCGTTCCCCCAGAACGCCGACAGCGGCACCCCCAATTTGATGACCTCTAACATTAATTTCGGCCAACTTCCATGTAAACACATGTGTACGCACGTATGTGTTCCGTGCATGGCAGCCTTACACATCGACTCCGTTTGCGGCGACCTTTCAAATCAATTGTTTTGTTTGGGCTATGGCTGTCCATTCCTGTCGTTGAGATCTTACAGTCCGACTTTGTGTTGTCAATGTATATTTGGATTCCTTGTGGTGGATGTACACATTTGTTTGAGCAGTGTGTACTTGCTTGATGGGGCGAATTTGCTCGACCCCCCGCAGGAACAACTGTGAACAACACGTGCTAGAACAAGGAAGGTTCTGAAACATGTGTGTGTGTGTTTGTGTTCTTAGATGGTGCTATTCCTAACACTCCTGCGTTGGTTTTTAGTTTGACCGCCTTATCGTCTCCTGCCTCCCTTTTCCCCCTTCGCTGCTCCTTGGGTGGCTGCGAACTGAGCAACTGTCGCCACTTTGGTGGTCTCCTGGGAGGTCCAACGTAGTCACGTCTTACGCGCATCATAACGAGACCTCGCCGTCTTTTGGGGTTGCGAACTGTGTAGCCGTCGCCACTTTCGAGGACTGTTGGGGGGTCGAACATAATGACGTCCTGCGCGCATCAGAATGAGCCCTCGCCGTCTTTGGGGGCTGCGAACTGCGAATCGGCCAACAATTTCGAGGGCTGGGGGGCCGTCCAACATAATAACGTCCTACGTGCATCATCCTGAAACCTCTCCGTCTCTGGGTGCTGCGAGTTGCACAACTGTCGCCACTTTCGAAGGCTGCTGGCGGCCGCATAGTGACGTCATACGCACACCAGAGTGACATCTCGCTGCCCTTGGCGGGCTGCGAACTGTGAGCTGGTCGACAGTTTCGAGCGCTGCTGGGGGGGCCAACATAGTGACGTCCTGTGCACATCAGAATGTGAACGCGCTGTCACTGATATGCTGCGAGCTGCGCAGCTGGCTCCACTTTCAAAGGCTGCTGGGGGGCCCAGCATTGTGACGTCCTACACACATCAGAAACCTCGCCGTCCCTCGGGGCTGAACACTGCGAATCTGTCGCCACTTTCGTGGGCTCCTGGGAGCGCTAGCGTAGTGACGTCCTACGTGCATCAGGATGAGACCTCGCCGTCCCTGGGGGCTGCGGATTGCGAAACTGTCGCCACTTTTGCGGGCTGCTGGGGGCTCCACCATTGTGGCGTCCTGCGCTCATCAGAATGGGACCTCGCTGCCCTTGGGGGCTGCGGGCTGCGCAGCTGTCCCCACTTTCGAAAGCTGCTGGGGGGTCCATCATCGTGACGCCCTGCGTACCTCATAATGGAACATCACCGTCTCTGGGGGTTGCGAACTGCGAAACTGCTGCCGCTTTCAAGGGCTGCTGGGGGGTCCAGCATAGTGACGTCCTACCACATCAGAATGAAGCATCGCGGTCATTGGGGGCTGCGAACTATGAAATTGTTGCCGCTTTCGAAAACTGCTGGGGTTTTAATCAAGTTGACATCCTGCGCACATCATACTGAAAACTCGCCGTCCGTGGGTGCTGCGAACTGCGAAACTGTTGCCGCTTTCGAGGGCTGCTGGGGGGTCCAACATAGTGACGCCCTGCGTGCGTGCGCGCGCGTGTGCGTGCGCGTGCGTGTGCGTGCGCGTGCGTGTGCGTGCGCGTGCGTGTGCGTGCGCGTGCGTGTGCGTGCGCGTGCGTGTGCGTGCGCGTGCGTGTGCGTGCGCGTGTGTGTGCGCGCGCGTGTGTGTGCGCGCGCGTGTGTGTGCGCGCGTGTGTGTGCGCGCGCGTGTGTGCGCGCGTGTGTGTGCGCGCGCGTGTGCGCGCGCGCGTGTGTGCGCGCGCGCGTGTGTGTGCGCGCGCGTGTGTGTGTGTGTGTGCGCGCGTGTGTGTGCGCGCGCGTGTGTGTGCGCGCGCGTGTGTGTGCGCGCGTGTGTGTGCGCGCGCGCGCGCGCGTGTGCGCGTGCGCGTGCGTGTGCGTGTGCGTGCGCGCGTGTGCGTGTGTGCGCGTGCGTGCGTGTGTGCGCGTGCGTGCGTGTGCGTGCGCGTGCGTGTGCGCGCGCGTGCGTGTGCGTGCGCGTGCGTGTGCGTGCGCGCGCGTGTGCGTGCGTGCGCGTGCGTGTGCGTGCGCGTGCGTGTGCGTGCGCGTGCGTGTGCGTGCGCGTGCGTGTGCGTGCGCGTGCGTGTGCGTGCGCGTGCGTGTGCGTGCGCGTGCGTGTGCGTGCGCGTGCGTGTGCGTGCGCGTGCGTGTGCGTGCGCGTGCGTGCGCGTGCGTGTGCGTGCGCGTGTGTGTGCCGGCGCTCTCTTCCCTGCGCCGCTCACCGCAGCAATTTTAGACACAAGCTGAGTTGTGGCAGGATCTAAACACCAGTTCACTTTCTGTAGAAGTGTCAGCTTGAATCGAAGAGCCATTGCATAAACAGATCGTCGAGGAACTTGTCTGCTTGAATCGCCGAGGAGCCCCCCTTTCCAGAGTGAGTCTATCATGCATTCTCCCGGTGTCGGCAGCAGTTCCCAACCCAGTGCAGCTCGAGCCAACGCGTCGATTGATGAGGGGCCACCGAAGGTTCCCAAAGGGGCCCACCCGAGCGATGCGACGCAAGGCAGGCAGGCCGCTGGCCAGTCGCCGCGGCAGCCACCGCGGCCGCCGCCGCCCCCCCCGGAGTCCGTCCAGACCATTCTCGAGACGTTCCGGGAGCAGGTGGCGGCCCAGACGAGGCAGAACGAAGCTTTCATCGCAGCATTCCACACCATGAACGAGCAAAATCAGCAGAACTTCCAGGCCCTCCAGCAGGCCATTCTGCAAGTTGCTTCCCATCGGGATGTGGGAGGTGCAACTGGAGGCACCGCCACGCCAGAGGCAGCACAGGGCAACGTTGGCAGTAATACATTCTTCAAGAGTTTCCCAGCTTCTTTGAACAAGAGTTTGGATAAGGTGACGTACGATTTCGAGCAGAATTTGGGTAAATCAGTGAAGGCGAAGGCAATGCATGCAAAGGCAGTTGAAGACGTCAAGCTTCTCGCTCAAGGGTCTTACCCCAACGGGATGAGGCCATTCAAAAGCCCAGCCCACCACGTGGAATTGGACGCTCCTTGGAGCACAGCTGCATCGACGGACGTGTCTGTTGCGTTGCCGTCCGGTCAGTTATGTACGATTCCCAAGGGGTCCACCCGCAGAGAAGCTAAAGCTGCCTTGCACAGATGGGTCGCTCATGAGTTGAGGGCCATCGACGTGGAGGCTCTGGAGTCTTCTTCCGCTAACGCAGCAGAAATGTCCAAGAAGAGCGTCTTTGCCAAGACGTGCGAAGACATCATGGACAAAGCCTGTTCGTCTCAAGCTTCAGATTTAGGCCTGGAGGAGCCCCTCATGAAGCAGGTCAGCCCTGAGATGCGGGCCGAGAAGGTGGAGGAGCTCTACCGCCGGGCCGTGCTGAAGGTGGAGAAAACTGAAGCCAGCAAGCGGGACGCGCTCGAAAAACACCGGCGAGCCGAAGAGCAGAAGGAGCAGCAACTTTTGCAGACCAAACCGGAGTCCCTCTTCCAGAACGCTGTGGAACACATCGCGGAGGCTGCTGTTCAGAAGGCAATGGCGGCCCAGGACTCGATGGTCGTGGAAGACCTTCCCGGGACAGGCGGTGCAACCGCCGGCCACGAACACACAGCCAAGTTCGTCGAAGCCTTGGCAAAAAACGGCGGACCCCCCGGGGGAGCCCGGGGGAAGCAACAGACAGCTTCCCGCAGCACGCCGCCCAAACCACAGGGCGCGGGCAGGGGGAAGGGCAAAGGCAAGCCAAAAGGTGGGAAAGGCAAAGGCTATGGCAAGAAAGGCAAAGGAAAGCGCGGAAAGAAGTGAG